TGACAACCTGGCTTAAAACCTTCACAAATGAAGTACATTAACAGTAATCTTTAAAAACACATGGTATCGATTATCAAAGAAAAAACACATGGTATCACGAGTCTTTGCGAACTCCAAGCTACTGATCAGTTGGTTCTCATCAGCGACGGATCTAGGGGGCCGCCCCCGGGCCACGACTCAGCCCTCCCCTGGATCTGGAGGTAGTATAGTACTTGTAAATTTTCGATTTAGATATTTGTTTATGATCTCGTTGGGTTCCAACCCATCCCTCTCTGCCTCCTTTTAAATGTAGCCTAGTGCTCTACCTTATGTTGAATCTGCCGCTGGTTCTCATTTGAGAGAACGTGTAAGAAAGTAGTATAAAACTCATACATAAAAATCTAACAACAACTTGAACTATTGAAACCAATTAATTTTGGAATGTTCTTCCACTTCTATATCCTGAGCAACTTGTACCGTTATCTTAAGTGCTCTACGTATATGCTAAATATGATTTATGAGTGGGTTACAAAACGACTTGCGTAAGTAAGCGCCGCCGAAAAATTCTTCATCTAATACTTTTCTTCCGATTGCCATTTGGATAGTACCACAGGAGAAAACCATTTAATTGTATCGGATATTGGTTTCATTACATACTAATCACTTAAGTGTTTTTAGTTGTACATAAGTCGACTTCCGGTTGTACCAATATATTTTCCATCTTCTTAATGGCAGGTATTAAATTGAAATGTTCCGCATCAATTTACACAATTCTATTTTCCCTCACATTCTTCCATCTTCATTTCGGTATTAGTAGCGCTCTCTTTAATTATCTTATGCCCTCATTTATTGTTTTCGTCAAAATTTACAATTGTTAAATATTCTTTTTTTTTGAAATTTTGGTTCTAATTGAATTAAACTTTGGCTTCCTTCCAAAATAAAATAAAATTTTTAAACTTATGTTGAATGTGAAATTCAATCTTTATTCTTTTTTTTTTGTTTATAATATGATTTGCATAATTGGCACCTCAGTATAGGCTTTCTTTAGGAGAAATTTTTTTGGGTGCCCTCGTATAGTTTGTTTAAATTCATATCACATAAAAACTAAAGAAGCATATTGAGCTTAAGCAGTAAAATCGAGTGACAAAAAGAGTAAAGTAATGAGGGAATTTCAGGTGAAGTTTTATCATAGATTTGTTACCAGTTTTCTGCTGACTCGCTCAAAACTACACTACAATTAAACCCCAATTAGAGCCCAAGATTTTAAACTCTAATCGGGTGTAGTATAGGGCAAGTATCTATAAATGACCCGAGCCAGTCCGTCTACCCCTACTTCGGTTGTTGAAATCATTATCTAGCGATAAAACTTTGGTTTAAAGGTTTACCAATTGAAATGAAAGAAAGCAAAAGTAATTTGGTTTGAAAACTCTTTTGTGGGAAAGTCACTTGGGTTTCGCTTCCCCCTTAACCGCTACCATGCTACGTGGGTTGGAACGATTGCCTTGAGCACGTTAATCGTGAACTGCAGAGGAAAGCGTATGTGGTTGGAGACCACAGTCTCGATTGCTAAACCGAGGTGAGGATGAAAGGTGTCACTCGACCCTATCGGTTTAGACAATCGGTAATCGGCTTACTTCACTCAACTCTAAGGTCGGACGGTTTAACCACGATTAATCGACTTGTTCAATTCAATATTGAGGATTTCCCTAACTCAACCTAGTTTAGGTGGCTTGGAAAGCGGAAGGAAAACCAACTCGATTGAGTCTCCCTTAAAAAGGGGGATTTTCCTCTCTAAACTAGGCTAAGTTGGCAAATTAGATTACAAGCACCTAAATGCACAAACTTAGGGGGTGCTAAGCACAATTATGCACAATCCCTAGGATGCCAAGCACAAAAATGCACAACTCCTCAGTTGCTAAGCACAAGCATGCAAAATCATGGTGAAAAATACCTCAAACATTAAATTGAACAATGCCCAATATCAATCATCTAAACCACATACAGGAAAACTACATGGTAAGGTTTAGGGTTTCACTACACACAAGTGGAAGGAGGACTACTCCATGGAAGAAGTGGGAAGAACAAAGGAGAAAAGGTGGAAACCATCTTTTGGGGATGCCTCCTCTCTTCTTCAACCTTGAGCTGGGATTTCCTTGGGGAAATCGTCCCAAAACCTCCTTTGAAGCCAAGCACCAACTCCTTCTCTTATGGTTATGTTTCTCTCACTAAAATGCAGAAGTGTTTCTCTCACAAAAGTGGCTCTCCCTCTCTTCTTCCTTGCAGCTCAGCTTTTAAACCCGAGAAGAGATGAGATCACGGCCTGAGTTCACGGCCGTGAACCATCAAACGCGTTCGTGAACTCACGCCTTGCGCCAAAACATTCCGCATCGATCACGGCAGTTCACGGGCAACTACTTGTGTTCACGGTCTTAGTGACCGTGAACTCGCCTTGCGTCAGTAACCTTCAATTTGGCTTTGGAAGCCTTGTGCTTCACGGTCAACTCCCCTTCTTCACGGTCTTGCACGACCGTGAACTCCTGCCTTTAGCCGTGAACTTGCGTTTTTCACCTCTTCTCCCTGTTTTCGATCCTTTTCGTCAATCCTTTGACCCCGAGGCTGGTTGGCACAAACATGTAAGAAAACCGGGGGCAAAATATGTGCAATTAGGCCCGAATCATCTGCTAAAGAAAGACTTCCAAAACAAAGCTCAATTTTTCGACCTAAGTTCGTAGCCGAAGCCCCCCATCTCCAACTCTATAAATAAATAATTTTATAAAAGGATCGAGAGCCACAGAGCAAGAGAAGAATTTCAAAGGGCTATTGTGATTGGGTTTATTTAGTCCTCCATTTTTATAAAAAATATTTATTTTGTGGAGTGGAAGAAAGAGAAAGAAAAATAGTATGGTGCAAATTAAGTTAGAAAACTTTAATTTGATACCCATCATTAACTTTAACTTTAAGGACAAAAAATATAATGATGCAACCGGAAGTCGATTTATGTGATTTAGTTGCAATTGAAAATTTTAAATGGTATCTGATACAATTAACCCATACATATAACTGCAGGCAACTCGATCGAATTTCAACCGGCGGCGACGTTGGATCGAATCTAGCTTTTTTTGTGGAGATTAACAAAGGTAATTCCGTCGAATGTATGCAATGCACCACGTTGGTATTTGGAATACATTACGTATTGTCCCACTACCTTTAATTCTGCTTACCACCAACGCCAAATTGGAAGCCCAGCGCCGGAAGTTTTATATTACGGCAGGCCGGCGGCACATATACCGAGAATATATATAGTCCTTGACTTGTAGTATTATTTTATTTAGTTAATGATATATATTTTTCAGAAGAATAAAATCATGACGCAATTTTATATCTTAAGATCTTTCACATAAAAAAAGTTATATGAGAATGACATAATGTACATGTCTTGTTGTATTTGTGTCCGATACCATTTTCACTTACAAAGGAAGAAATCAACTTATAATTCACAAGACAAGACTTCCCCGAAGTTCATTACTATTATAAATGCACAAATAATTTTTTATTTTATCCTTTTGTAATAATGTCTAATCGGGACAAATTTTGGTTATAAGAAAATTCAATTCATGGAAGAGCACAATGACGAATTGTGCAGATCCAACATTTAACAGAAGAAAATTTTGTTACTAGAAACAAGTAACCTACAAACTACAGTGGAATATATTGGAACATCTGTAGTAATTCAATCTCGGTATTCCTACAAAAATAGTACCCACGTCATAATAAAATCTAAAGATAGTAACTGATGTGGGTGGCCTAAAACATTGTAACATTGTCCTCGTTAAACACGTGAGAGAGTCTGTCTAACCATTCAGTCCCTCTGTAGTTCCTAACATCACATCGACCCCTAATTCCTTAAAATTGCATATGCATGGTAAAAACTAAAAACATCCTCTCCGCTTCACATGCCAATTAGCTCTTTTCTATCTAGGGGTGGCAAATTAAATTAGCCAATCCTTGGGCAGAAGTAACATTGTACTCCTTCCGTCCACGTTGTTCCTTAGCTTCAGCCATCCACTATTCTCACTTTACGCAAACTCCGAACTCCCCCAATGGAATTGTACGTGGGCACCGGGCCGTGCCGCCCACGGGCTAGCACGGCACGGCGCGGTCATGCACGGCACGAGCACGGACACGAAATAAATGGGCCAGCCCGGCACGAGCACGAATAATTTATGGGTCGTGCCGGGTCTAAACTTCATGAGCACGGGCACGGCACGGTATATAAGTGGGCCGTGTAGGGCCTAATATTTTCGAGACTTTATTGAGTATAAGAACGGACAGGGCACGAAAATAATATTTATTTGATAAAAAATAAGTATTAAAAGAATTATAGGTTCAAATATTACAAAACACAAGTAGAAAAATAATTATTTGTTATTGTTAGAAGTGTCATAAAGATATATACGTAATTACTAACATAAGTAAAAATGGACAAAGAATTAAACAAAGGCAAATCACACTCGCTATACTTTCAATTTTCTTTCCCCCCTATTTGTTACTTTTCTCAAACATTATCGGTTAATACGGTCTTCCCCCGTCCAATTTTCACCTTCTTTTTCATTCTCTCTTTTGTTTTCGTCCTTTTCATTAAACACGAATACGAGCATGGCACGAGCACGAATAGGCACGACACGATTCGAACCGTGCTCGGGTCTGGGCCGGGCCTAGCAAAGTTGACAAATGGGCTTGCATGGCACTGCATGAAAACTGACGGGCCGTGCCAAACACGGCACGAAATAAATGGGCCCGAAGCGTGTCCGTGCCGTGCCGGCCCAAGCACGGCCAGAGCCCATGTACAAATGGAATGGATGCTTTCTTTCTTTGAAAGCCCAGGCCAGGCCAGGTGCATCCAACGCGGGATTGCCCTGCCCTTGGCCACTATAATATAAATATTTGCCGACAACAATGGCATCACCAAGATCTTCCCTAAACACGTACAATCCCAAAAACATAAGAGAGGCCAACAAAAAATGGGTTTTCAACTCAGAAACCACAACCGCGATGTTACTGCTCGTTCCTCATCCCCTCACTGGAAGCCCGTTGTAAGCCATTGGAATACACATAGATAGCATCCATTCTTTTTCGAATTTCATTTTCGCTTTGTGATCGTGAAGTTGGAAATGCAGGATGGCGGCTCCTCCTTGGTGTTTCCGGACCCAAATCGTACAGAGTGCCCGCCAGAGCTCTCAACATAGTCTGGGGGAAGGACCCGCGTTACTGGCAATGGATCCCGCTCTCAGACCACGACAATAGGTGATTCATGAGATCCAGTTATTACTCCATCTGCTCCACGAAATCAAACTAATTTTCCACGTTTCTAAAAAAGCTGCTACCTTAGCTTTTTAGTTTTTGGGTTGGCAGGGGAAGTGGGTTCGAGGACGAAGCAGCAATGCTGGTTCAGGTGAACTGAATCCAGGTGACGGGGAGGCTGCCGGCGAGCTTGTTCGCCGGGAAGAAGTACGAGGTGGTGTGGTTGGTGAAGTTCAGGGTGGACGCATTCGGGTGGCACTCTGTTTCGGTGAAGTTCAAGGTCAGGCAGAGCAACGAAGGGGAGGAGAAGGTGAGGAGCGTGGTGGTGGAGCCTTACCTGCAGAAGCATAAGGTGTGGCATGAAATCTTCGGCGGGGAGTTCACGGTGCAGGCGGCTGGTGGGGTGGTGGAGTTTGGGATGTATGAGATTGAAACCAAGTGGTGGAAGGGTTGCATGGTTCTTGCCGGCGTCAAGATTCGGCCTAAACCTTAGAAAGACCCGTGTGTCTTTTTATTGTTCATAGCTCATGGCATAATTGTAATGTAATACTTCATCTCAAGATGTTAATTGTCCTTACTGTATCATCCTATAACACTTTTCCAATGTATGAGTACACACATTATAATCTTTCTTTCGTTATATTTAGCTCTTCCAGTATTCTTTTCCTATGAAGTTAGAGAAACTTTCACAAGACCAATTTTTCAAACTAATACTTCATACAAAACATCTTACGATTAAATGTAAAGAGTTTCAAGTAAATCAGATTATATTATACAATGTGTACAAAAAAGTATGAAATGGTAATTCTAGTTATAATATCGATGACCAACAATGTTGTTCTTGCTACATACAAAGAGTTACTGGAATCAAAATTTCTCAATTATGCGTGATGTAGAATACAAAGATCGGAATAAACCATGTGTATTAGCGTAGAAAATCATGCACTACCAGCATATGAGCACCCAACGATTGTGATATTGGGTCTCATGTAATTGAAGTTATTGTTGAATGCTTTAGGTCAACATATATATTGAGAGATTATATGATATACGTAATACATTATATTTGTACCAAAATGAAACAACAAAAACAAAATAATACCATAAAACTACACAATACATCTCCAGTCCAGGTTCCAAGTCTAATAGTTAGTTGCCATCAACCAGAAATGGGAAGTCGGCAAATTGAGCATATATTCTCCATTCAGGTCGTAACCAGAAGGTCAGCAATCGATCATCATTGCGTTGAATGAGAAACCGTACGATTATACGAGATCCGGAGGGCTGCCACTATCAGTTCTATACTTGCTAGCGTAACATGTGATGTGATATGATATCCCTAGTTGCTAGCCAATGTAGTTGTACGAGATTGAAACCCAGTAACGGAGTGGACAACTTTCTCATTACGTTACGCGGATAGGAAATGGACGGGATGTGGAGTCCTCTGTCTTGCGCATCAGCAGAACGAGGGAATAAAGGGGTTTCTTTCTTGGGAGTGGAAAAAACAAAAAGGAAGGAAGGAAGAGACAACCTGTTGACGAGATATTCTCTGCAACTATAGCAAAGCCAAAGGTTGCTGCCGCTGCTGCCCTATCGCTGATCGTGGGTAACCATACAAATACAGAATGAGTTGTTGTTCTCCCCTGCCTTCTATCTAAAGCTGAGCAGAAACCACAAGAAACAGAATCGATGCGCTCTCAATTATCTTGGTTCGCTCTCACCATCTCTGGTTCCATGCCAATTGCCATGCACATTATGGTGGTAGACAATCTTAACTTTCACGTCCATGTACATCCCTCCACTCGATCTCTCACCACCTTATCGTCGAATCTTTCTTCCACATCTCTGGTTCCATGCTTGCAACTTTCTGTCTTCGGATAAAAGATTGATGCTTTCCCTCGTTTAATTGATGGCTGTCATTGCCCGTCCAAATTGACATTCCGATTCAATGTCGACCCCCCTGTTTTCTCAAACAGTAGTATAAGAGAAAGGCAAAGCACTCTAACCCACACCAAACAGAGAATGGGAACAGGGTGATCGCAGGATGACGAGGCGGCCGCAGCAGCTTCACAGCTGGAGCAGCCAACCCACCAATCCACCGCGGACAGAGGTCAGCTGCCGCGGCAGCACTCTGTTCAGAAATAGAGTCAAGAGAAACAGAGTCAAGGAAGACAGAGTGAGAATAAATCCAACACAGCTGAAAGAGTTGGAGATGGCAAGTTCCAGGAGGCCAGGAACATGACACCAGCGGCAACGCAAGCAACACAACCCATCATGGGCGGGGGTCAGCTGCAGCGGCAGTACTCTCAGAAACAGAGTCAAGGAAATCAGAGTGAAGCAAAACAGAGCGAGAACATATCCAACATGGTTGAAAGATCTGGAGATGGCAAGTTGGGGGAGGCCAAGAATAGGGCATCTGCAGCAACACAAGTGAAGCTTCCACATAACTGGGAAGCTATATTGCGAGAAGCAGCAATTGAGCGTTCTTCCCCTGATAGGCAGTGCAATCAACTCTTCTCTGGAGTATTCCTGAACAAAAAGAGCAAGGCAAGCTGATAATTTCCCATTTTAACAATTTTCCTCACTATCAGCAGTTGTTTTTTCTTCTCTTTTTGGCCGACTGATGTTGAGAACCAACTGCAGAAGTACTGGGTTGACAGGAACTCCAACAGCAACTGTTTCACTCTGTTTGCTAGAGATCTCCTGATCACCTGGGCTGACGACCCGCGTTACTGGCACTGGCCTTCTGTAACTGAGACAAGGTAAAATAGCAGGAATTTACTTTGATCCATCACAGTTCCGGTTTACCATATCGATTGAAGGATGCTTTTATTTTCATTTTCTATGTTGGTAGAGATGTTACGGTGGAAGCCGCAGAGCTTTTAGCAGTTTGCTGGCTGGAGGTTCATGGGAACTTTGACACAGCAAAGCTTTCTCCTGGGACTTTGTATGAAGTTATGTTTGTGATAATGCTGAAAGATCCGGCAGTAGGATGGGAAGTTCCAGTGAATTTCAGACTCACTCTACCAAATAGAGTCAAGCAAGAGCACAAAGAGAACCTAATGACGATACCAAGATTGCAATGGATTGAAATCCCCGTTGGTGAGTTCAGAACTTCACCTGAAAATATTGGTGGGAATATGGAGATCTCTATGTTTGAATATGAAGGAGGAACCTGGAAGAAGGGGCTGATTCTCAAAGGAGTCACCATCCGACCAAAGTCCTCAACTACATAGCGATAGGGAGATGAGAGTTTCCAAAATAATGATACGTGGTTTCGGGTCGAAATTCAGGACAAGAAGATACAACACTCTGGAAAGAGGCTTATTTGCTGGCCAACAAACTTATTACTGAAACTATAAACAGTCATCAAACTTGTATTGCAAAACGAAATAAACACAGAAAGCTCAGGTCTAAAGGTACAACAAAGGGCATCACCTGTTTTGCTGCTTCTATGCTTGGTTTGAATGGAGCATTTCAAAAATATGTATGGTAATTTTCTGGCTTGAACCATGGCGAGAAATCAAAGCCTTTGCTTATGAGCTTTTCGGTCGGAGGTGCAATCCTCTCCAAAAGCTGCATTACGAAGAATAATAAGATCTTACAGTTCAAACAAATATGGCTAGAATTATAGACAAATGCTAGAGGGTGAACCTTTGAATGGAGTACCCCGTTGGATACCAAAACTGATCTATCAAAAACACAGAACTTGTTGCCATCCATGCATGTTACTGTTCCACCAGCCACTTCAACCATCTGCTTGAAACAAAAGGAGATATCAAGCCAATGACTAACGACTAAATGACATGGTAATTCTGCTGGCCAGATATTGGCAAGCTCATCTGAAACCAAACCTAGTGGATTGACATTTGAAGGTCTTGACAAAAACTTTACCAGAACACCAGCACCATGTCCCATGGCTTTAGTCGATATTCCCAGTAAGCTTCCACAATACCTAGAGCTACATGGCACATATCAACTGCAGCAGCGCCAAGCCTTCTTACACCCTATTAACAAGACAAAGAAAAAAAGAAGCAACCATCAATTGGAGAAAACCAAACACTTACAGAAAAGAAAAAGAAAAAACAATCGAGATGCAGCAGGTAAGATAAAGCAATTACGGATATTACCCTGCTAACATCTGTAAACTCCTTGAATAATTCAATGTTAGTAGACCATGCATCGTCGTGCTCATACCCAAACCCAGTAACCAGAAGAGATCGTTCCACCTGAAACAATGGGAAGGAGGTCAAACAATTTGAATGAGAAGGTCTTAAAATACTGAATTCTCCATACTTAATACATTTGGTGTGTCTACATTTCATTCTGCCTGCGTTACCATCCTTTGACAAGAGTTCCAGGAACAGAAAGAGCTATGAAGCACAAAGACATGTATTATTTTCAAGTAGAAGATAAAATTCTTAGTGCGAAACTTATTGAGCATCTATCACTCCAGAAACCATATAACATTCGCCACATAATGTATTCCTAAGGCACAATCTCCTGTAGAAGATAAAATTCTTAGTGTGCAACTTATTGAGCTCCTGCCACTCACCGTGTCAGTTTGACTGGCATGAATTCTCTGACCATTACAAAAAGCTCCCCCACCTGAAGAGGTTAGAACAGTTTCAGCCTACACAAGGCACCTATGGAAAAGAAATAATCAGGCCAATAAAATTTCTCACCTGCAGTTGCAGAGAAAGTACGAGTATTCCATGCCATAGGACCTCCAACAAACTCCACCTATAAGGAGAAACAAGAATGCCATTATGATTTCTTTATCTTGTACTCATACACTGCCTTGTTTTCCCTTTTTTTGTCCCATGAGTTTTTCTGGTACGCAATTGAACCAAGTATCATATTGTTCTTCATCATAATCAAATAAGCCTTCTGAAGCTATTTCAGAGTTATAAACAATATTGTTAGAAACAACATCAATAAAGTTCTTATTGGAAGAATCTGTCGAGCATCACAGTTTAGACATTATTTACCGGCTACGGCTAGTATCTTATTCAGTACAAATGTCAACTCAATCTAATATGTAAAGGTCAGTACCACAGCAGCAGCAGCTGGCCTTCCTCGAAAGAGAACTCCTACGGATACTGCAAAGCTAGGATAACCGTGTGCAAAATTTGTTGTTCCATCTGCAGAAATGGAAAGGTGCATTGAGTTATAAGGCACGACCAACGCACTTTATTGATTTAATACACGTCGATAGGAACGAGCAAAATGGATGGATAGTACAAAATATTAGGCAGCAGAATATGAAAGGGAGATTGAAGATTGAATGTCAGCTACAAATTGATGCAATTTTGAAAGCCTTTAAACCTCCAACAAGATAAAAAGACGATCTTCATTTATTTCATCAGCAATATAAAATAAAAGATCAGATTTAAATAATTTGGTAGTTGTTCTGGAGTATGCAGCAATCCAGAATACTTTCACGGCCTGGAATTCCCTTGACAGAGAGAGGGATTATTGAAAACACTAGCATGGCAACACACGGCTGAGCGACTGGGAGAGAGAGGGCAGTCATAATCATGAAGTTGAAGGCAAGCAAAATATTGCCTAGTTTCGAGTAACTTCAATATTTAACGATTAACCAACTGATTATTACATGACATGGTCAAATGCATCAAATGATTAACCAACATTAACTTATCGGATTAGTATACAACGTATGTTCACAAATACTCACCTAGAGGATCAATGCACCAGAGGTAATCGGAATGGCTATCACCAATGACTCCTCCTTCTTCCCCAAGAATAAGGTGATCTCCGAAATTCTTGTTAACGACTTCCAATATAGCAGCCTCGCTCATTTTGTCTGTGCCGCGTAAGTAAATTTGCACATATGAAGTAAATGTCATAAACCAGTTGGTCCCAATAACTCGAGTTGTTGGGAGAGGTTCAATCGTGGATCTTATACCACTTGATAAAGCACCAGGGGGGTGTTTTTGATCAGAATACGCAGCAAACCAAACTTCTAGAACGATAAGTGATGGATAGGTAGAATTTCGCCACAATCAAGGTGATTACTTGATTGATAAGAAAACTTGTAAAACGAATCTGGAATCCTCACATAAAAGCCTCACAAGGGTTCTCGAATTAGCAATGGAATTCCTCACACGACTAACTCAAGGGTTTGATTCTTGAGAACTCTCAAAGAACACAATTCTCACAAAGAGCAATTTTCATTCAACTTAACTTGGATCCTTTACAACGTGAAATTGAAAGCTATTTAAAGGCAATAAAAACCTAATACAAACCTAATAGAACTAGGAAACTAATTAGAATAGAAAAAGGCTAAATAATTCGTTCAAAACAAGGTAACTTGCTGGCCAAGAAACTGACTTAAAACGCAAGCAAGTCTGCCTAGGAAAACAGGCTTCATAGCATCTTTGAGCCCTTCGAAAATGGTCTTCTAGGTTGATTCGAATTCAACCAATTCCTTTCCTTTGTAGAATAAAACTTCCTGTTTCACCTCCAACTTGAATCAGCCTGAGATCATGTTCCAAACTCCAGATATAGGCCTTCAAAGTTGGTATCTCAAAACAGTTTTCTGCCTTAGCCAAATTTAGACAGTTTTCCTGTTTTGTGGTAGCCTTTTGATGGGCTTTGAAAGTGACCTTCCAGACATCTCCTTGAGCTCCAAAACATACCAATGTAATCATAATAACATTATCTTCAAAACAAGCTCTTGCTCTCCCATTTTGATGGAGCCATTTGTGAGATACAAGCTTCCAAAGTAGGCTACCTGAAACTGTTTCAACACTTAGCCAAAAATCAGAATTCTTCAAGTGAGTTGAGATGACTTCTTTGGAAAGCAATTGTGAATTGTGGATTGATCCAATTGGGATCATATCAGGCTCCCCCTCTTCAAAAAGCTTTGACCTCAAAGCTTGAAGCTTCCTCTTGTCAAAAACGTCACAAAAGTGATCCCAAATCGAGTCACGAAATAGGTACCTCGAACTTGCAATGTCGAACTTCCAAACTTCGTCAACTTGTAAACTTGCTGCCGTTTTCCACGATTCAAGTTTCACCACCATCGTGGGGCTCCAATGGACCTTCCCCACCCAAACAGCGTGCAAAATTGGACCCAAAACAAGGCCTGGCAATTTTCCAGAATCCGGCGCCGGCAAGAACTCCGGCGAGGCCTTCCAAATTGGGGATTTATTCTCGGCGTCACCCCGATCCAATTCATTGCCTCTAATCAACTCGACTGGCTCACATGATTCGTTTCCATCCATTCCCAGCCTCTCTAGTGCTCCAATTCGCTCCAATTCTTCACGCCAGTCCGCAAATGCCGGCGAGCCCTCCATTTTTGGGCGTTCTCGATTCAGAGCTGCTTGCTCCGAATTGACGTCTGATTCTGGACCTCCAAGCTTCGAATTTACGTCTCCTATCAAATCCAAGCAACTTAGGTACTTTACGTCGATCATCCAGCCGCCTCCGATATTCCCGCCACTAGAAATTTTGAAATTTCCAGTTTCCGACGAGTTAAACCCAGAAATCGGCAAGCACAACCCAGATTCCGGCGAAGCAAAATAAAATTTGGGCGTTGGAGAATCTGGCAATTTTGCTTCCAATTGACGACTCTCATAGCTTCCTTGAACCTGCTCGAACTTGCCCATAGTCTCCTGTTCTCTCGATTCACGTCCAATCTCTCCAATCGATTCTTCCTTGTCTTCTCCAAATTTTCGGCCAATTTTTTTCGAATTGGGGTTTTTTTATTGATGCTTCTTCGAGATGAATTGAGCACTTCTACACGTTCCATGGACATCATTGAGCGATTCTGCATCGTCAATTTTGGTCGAAGCGACCTCGATCACGCCAACCAATTCTCCCCTTTTGCCTTCGTTGTTCTTCACGAACAGAGGTAAATTTGCAAGAATTGAATCTGAAAATTTAGGTAGGATCACCTCCTTTGAAGATACTTCTGACGTTTCTGGGGTTCTAGTGATCGTTTCGACAGTGATGGCTGAGTTCGAATCGTCGCCATTTGTTCCAACCAATAAGGTCGTCGAGACGTTCTGTTTTTCCGGGGAAATAACAGAGTCGTGAAACTCTGCTTCCTTCACCGGCGTGATACGCGCGTCGGCAGCTAGCTCCAGGTCCTCTCCTCTTTTCTCCAATCTTCCTTCCACCTCCATAGACGCCTCTGACCCAGCGTTGTGCGCCAGCTTAGCGTGATCGTCGTCGGCAGCACTAGTAGCGTTGATGCTCTGTTTTTGCGGCGAAAAACAGGGGGGGTTGCTGCCGAGCAGAGTTTGATTACTCTTGCTGTTTGGCGACGAAATCTGTGACCATAGGGCCTGATGGTATTCTTCATTGAGCCTTTGTACTTCCTTTACGTTGCCAACAGCTTCCTCTGGAGGTAATGGACTCAATACGAAAATTTTGTTTCGTTTCCTGACTCTAAACTTTCTGCTCCTTCGGCTAACTAGCTCCACCTTTCGATTTTGAAACCAGGGCTGCCCCAACACGATGTGGCTGGGCAGGTTATAAACCACGGCGCAAATAATCCTGTCTTCGTATTGTCCGATCGAAAATTCCACAACTACTTGGGAGAATACGAAATTGGAGTGTCCATCATAAGGTGATTGAAAGGTATAGAACTTCGATAGTGGCTGTGTTTGCAACCCTAGCTTGCTCACAGTCCTAGAGGAAATCAAATTCCTCTCCCTGCCTCCATCAACAAGAACCAAACACGTTTTTTGTTGGATTGAACAACGTGTGAATACCATCGAACGTGCTAGCTCATCGGACGCCATTGTTGCTCTGTTTTTGTACGAAACTCAGCCTTTAATCCTTCTCGCCAATGACTTGAACCAGGCTCTGATACCACTTGATAAAGCACCAGGGGGGTGTTTTTGATCAGAATACGCAGCAAACCAAACTTCTAGAACGATAAGTGATGGATAGGTAGAATTTCGCCACAATCAAGGTGATTACTTGATTGATAAGAAAACTTGTAAAACGAATCTGGAATCCTCACAGAAAAGCCTCACAAGGGTTCTCGAATTAGCAATGGAATTCCTCACACGACTAACTCAAGGGTTTGATTCTTGAGAACTCTCAAAGAACACAATTCTCACAAAGGAGCAATTTTCATTCAACTTAACTTGGATCCTTTACAACGTGAAATTGAAAGCTATTTAAAGGCAATAAAAACCTAATACAAACCTAATAGAACTAGGAAACTAATTAGAACAGAAAAAGGCTAAATAATTCGTTCAAAACAAGGTAACTTGCTGGCCAAGAAACTGACTTAAAACGCAAGCAAGTCTGCCTAGGAAAACAGGCTTCATAGCATCTTTGAGCCCTTCGAAAATGGTCTTCTAGGTTGATTCGAATTCAACCAATTCCTTTCCTTTGTAGAATAAAACTTCCTGTTTCACCTCCAACTTGAATCAGCCTGAGATCATGTTCCAAACTCCAGATATAGGCCTTCAAAGTTGGTATCTCAAAACAGTTTTCTGCCTTAGCCAAATTTAGACAGTTTTCCTGTTTTGTGGTAGCCTTTTGATGGGCTTTGAAAGTGACCTTCCAGACATCTCCTTGAGCTCCAAAACATACCAATGTAATCATAATAACATTATCTTCAAAACAAGCTCTTGCTCTCCCATTTTGATGGAGCCATTTGTGAGATACAAGCTTCCAAAGCAGGCTACCTGAAACTGTTTCAACACTTAGCCAAAAATCAGAATTCTTCAAGTGAGTTGAGATGACTTCTTTGGAAAGCAATTGTGAATTGTGGATTGATCCAATTGGGATCATATCAGGCTCCCCCTCTTCAAAAAGCTTTGACCTCAAAGCTTGAAGCTTCCTCTTGTCAAAAACGTCACAAAAGTGATCCCAAATCGAGTCACGAAATAGGTACCTCGAACTTGCAATGTCGAACTTCCAAACTTCGTCAACTTGTAAACTTGCTGCCGTTTTCCACGATTCAAGTTTCACCACCATCGTGGGGCTCCAATGGACCTTCCCCACCCAAACAGCGTGCAAAATTGGACCCAAAACAAGGCCTGGCAATTTTCCAGAATCCGGCGCCGGCAAGAACTCCGGCGAGGCCTTCCAAATTGGGGATTTATTCTCGGCGTCACCCCGATCCAATTCATTGCCTCTAATCAACTCGACTGGCTCACATGATTCGTTTCCATCCATTCCCAGCCTCTCTAGTGCTCCAATTCGCTCCAATTCTTCACGCCAGTCCGCAAACGCCGGCGAGCCCTCCATTTTTGGGCGTTCTCGATTCAGAGCTGCTTGCTCCGAATTGACGTCTGATTCTGGACCTCCAAGCTTCGAATTTACGTCTCCTATCAAATCCAAGCAACTTAGGTACTTTACGTCGATCATCCAGCCGCCTCCGATATTCCCGCCACTAGAAATTTTGAAATTTCCAGTTTCCGACGAGTTAAACCCAGAAATCGGCAAGCACAACCCAGATTCCGGCGAAGCAAAATAAAATTTGGGCGTTGGAGAATCTGGCAATTTTGCTTCCAATTGACGACTCTCATAGCTTCCTTGAACCTGCCCGAACTTGCCCATAGTCTCCTGTTCTCTCGATTCACGTCCAATCTCTCCAATCGATTCTTCCTTGTCTTCTCCAAATTTTCGGCCAATTTTTTTCGAATTGGGGTTTTTTGATTGATGCTTCTTCGAGATGAATTGAGCACTTCTACACGTTCCATGGACATCATTGAGCGATTCTGCATCGTCAATTTTGGTCGAAGCGACCTCGATCACGCCAACCAATTCTCCCCTTTTGCCTTCGTTGTTCTTCACGAACAGAGGTAAATTTGCAAGAATTGAATCTGAAAATTTAGGTAGGATCACCTCCTTTGAAGATACTTCTGACGTTTCTGGGGTTCTAGTGATCGTTTCGACAGTGATGGCTGAGTTCGAATCGTCGCCATTTGTTCCAACCAATAAGGTCGTCGAGACGTTCTGTTTTTCCGGGGAAATAACAGAGTCGTGAAACTCTGCTTCCTTCACCGGCGTGATACGCGCGTCGGCAGCTAGCTCCAGGTCCTCTCCTCTTTTCTCCAATCTTCCTTCCACCTCCATAGACGCCTCTGACCCAGCGTTGTGCGCCAGCTTAGCGTGATCGTCGTCGGCAGCACTAGTAGCGTTGATGCTCTGTTTTTGCGGCGAAAAACAGGGGGGTTGCTGCCGAGCAGAGTTTGATTACTCTTGCTGTTTGGCGACGAAATCTGTGACCATAGGGCCTGATGGTATTCTTCATTGAGCCTTTGTACTTCCTTTACGTTGCCAACAGCTTCCTCTGGAGGTAATGGACTCAATACGAAAATTTTGTTTCGTTTCCTGACTCTAAACTTTCTGCTCCTTCGGCTAACTAGCTCCACCTTTCGATTTTGAAACCAGGGCTGCCCCAACACGATGTGGCTGGGCAGGTTATAAACCACGGCGCAAATAATCCTGTCTTCGTATTGTCCGATCGAAAATTCCACAACTACTTGGGAGAATACGAAATTGGAGTGTCCATCATAAGGTGATTGAAAGGTATAGAACTTCGATAGTGGCTGTGTTTGCAACCCTAGCTTGCTCACAGTCCTAGAGGAAATCAAATTCCTCTCCCTGCCTCCATCAACAAGAACCAAACACGTTTTTTGTTGGATTGAACAACGTGTGAATACCATCGAACGTGCTAGCTCATCGGATGCCATTGTTGCTCTGTTTTTGTACGAAACTCAGCCTTTAATCCTTCTCGCCACTGACTTGAACCAGGCTCTGATACCACTTGATAAAGCACCAGGGGGGTGTTTTTGATCAGAATACGCAGCAAACCAAACTTCTAGAACGATAAGTGATGGATAGGTAGAATTTCGCCACAATCAAGGTGATTACTTGATTGATAAGAAAACTTGTAAAACGAATCTGGAATCCTCACAGAAAAGCCTCACAAGGGTTCTCGAATTAGCAATGGAATTTCTCACACGACTAACTCAAGGGTTTGATTCTTGAGAACTCTCAAAGAACACAATTCTCACAAAGGAGCAATTTTCATTCAACTTAACTTGGATCCTTTACAACGTGAAATTGAAAGCTATTTAAAGGCAATAAAAACCTAATACAAACCTAATAGAACTAGGAAACTAATTAGAACAGAAAAAGGCTAAATAATTCGTTCAAAACAAGGTAACTTGCTGGCCAAGAAACTGACTTAAAACGCAAGCAAGTCTGCCTAGGAAAACAGGCTTCATAGCATCTTTGAGCCCTTCGAAAATGGTCTTCTAGGTTGATTCGAATTCAACCAATTCCTTTCCTTTGTAGAATAAAACTTCCTGTTTCACCTCCAACTTGAATCAGCCTGAGATCATGTTCCAAACTCCAGATATAGGCCTTCAAAGTTGGTATCTCAAAACAGTTTTCTGCCTTAGCAAAATTTAGACAGTTTTCCTGTTTTGTGGTAGCCTTTTGATGGGCTTTGAAAGTGACCTTCCAGACATCTCATTGAGCTCCAAAACATACCAATGTAATCATAATAACATTATCTTCAAAACAAGCTCTTGCTCTCCCATTTTGATTGAGCCATTTGTGAGATACAAGCTTCCAAAGTAGGCTACCTGAAACTGTTTCAACACTTAGCCAAAAATCAGAATTCTTCAAGTGAGTTGAGATGACTTCTTTGGAAAGCAATTGTGAATTGTGGATTGATCCAATTGGGATCATATCACCACTCTCTAACACGCCCCCTCAAACGAAAGCCAACCCATGTAATTGAAGATTGCACAGGCCCACCATACCATGTGCTTGAAAGACAACAGTTAATATTGGGGGTTGTGGAGATTCGAACACATGACCTTTCGGTTTTAGGCTCTGATACCATGTCAAGAACCAGTTGATCCCAATAACTCGAGCTGTTGGGAGAGGTTCAATTGTGGATCATATACAACAACACTAACACGCCCCCTCAAACGAAAGCCACTCACAAGGGCTTGAAGTTTGCACAGGTCTGAAGACAGGAATACCATGTGCTTAACAAATTGGTCACAATAACTCGAGTTGTTGGGAGAGGTTCAATCGTGGATCTTATACCACTCTCTAACACACCCCCTCAAACGAAAGCCAACCCATGGGCTTGAAGTTTGCACAGGCCCACCATACCATGTGCTTGAAAGACAACGGTTAATATTGGGGGTCGTGGAGATTCGAACACATGACCTTTCGGTTTTAGGCTCTGATACCATGTCATAAACCAGTTGGTCCCAATAACTCGAGTTGTTGGGAGAGGTTCAATCGTGGATCTTATACCACTCTCTAATAGTAAACCCGGTACATTTACATTTCCGGGGTTCCTGAGATTCTAGAAATCCCTAGTGAAAGGGATTAAGCACTTAGCAGTATTACAAACAAGTAAAATGTAATATTCCTTACTCGGTGAACATTTTGTAACATAAATAAGCCGTTAGTGGGGTCCTTACTCGGTGACTAGGTCAGTAAGCCCTTTATAAGTGATATTCCGGGGCTTATTAACTGCTTCCATCACCACCTGGACACAGAAATGTAATTGAGCATGATGAATCCACAAATGGAGAAGGACAAGCAAACTTCATAACATCTCAATCAAACAAAACAATCACACAAATCACAATAGGAAGGTTCAAAGGCGAACTCAATAGAGTGAGGGAAAAGGGTTGACCTCGGCTCCAGTCTTGGCGGCAGTCTCAACGACTTGAATGAGCTGGTTCAGCGGAATGGGTCCGGTAGATGAAGCTCCAATTTTCGGGTACCGGCTCTGGTAAGGAAGCTCTGATAGCACTGCCTTCGTTGTGGACAGATTCCGGGCAGGCTTGGCGTGAATGGGGGGAAGTCTCGGGAACCCATTGTGAGAATTGCCCTTGAATGAGAAAGGAACGCTTTGGTACGAGCGGTTGAAGGAGGGTAACGAGCACCTGGGCAAGTGACAAGAAGATTTGAGAGAGATGTTTGCAGAGAAGAGAAGCGACCTTCCCATTGCGAATCCTGGACTCGAACGCCTAAAGGACGCAATCAGTTTGTGGATACAATCGGAAAGGGAATGATGGAGTTTGTGGCAGTGGCTCCCGGGGGGAGAGGAAGGAGACTTGTGATTTGTCAGTATGCTAGGTGAAGCAGTCGAGAGGAATATAGTGATGGTTTTGGCTTGCCTCATAAATGATAAATCAACTTTGGAGGGTCGGAAATTGTTGTTTTTTTAATTTTTTAATGCAGAAACTGTAAATAGAAATCGGAAATAATCCAAAACTACCACTATAAATTTTTTTTTATAAAAATACCACACATTCCCAACAATTTCCAAAAATACCACCCTTCCACACATAACGCACCTCGAAGGCGCGGTTATAGAACAAAGCGCACCTCCAAGGAGCGGTTAAAGCACAAACCGCCTCTGGAACACGTGGTTTGACTCTTCCTGGCTGTCAAACCGCGTTGCCACGTGGCGGTACATGCAATCGCTGGATGGGGGAGCGATCTGACGGCCAAACCGCGCGCCAGCTCAGCGATCCGCGTCGCTCAGTCAAACCGCTCCCCCGAAGTGCGGCTTGACTGCTGGGGAACGCTAACCGCGCGTTGGAGGCGCGGTTTTAAGCGGGGTAAAAGGACGAAACCACCCCTCCCTCACGCGGTTTCGTCCCTATATAAACCCCCTTCCCCCACCCATTTTCTGCACACCAAACCCATTCCCCCCGTCTCTCTCCCTCTAACTCCTCACTCTCCCCACCTCCCTTCCCTACCCAAAAAACCTTATAATTAGTTATTTTGTTGGTTGCAGCTAAGCCCGATTTGCTTTAAAAAAACTTTTTCTTTGTTTTCACTAAAAAACCGTCGATTCTCTGTCCGGATTCGGAAAAAATGGCCGATTTCATTTAAGAAGAGGGCATTTTCTATGATGATTATCAAACGGTACGTACTCATTTTACCCAATAGTTGTTGTTGTTATAATGATTTATTTAATTTATATACTAATTGATTTATGTTGTTGTTATGCTATCGTAGGTTGGGCCGGATGTTGATATTTACAATCAACGATATTATGTTGATCAGACTGTTTTATACGATCAAGCTAATCATCGTTCAAGAGATGTTTGGAATGACCACAAGGTACATATTATTTATCATCACTTGTAATTTGTATTTTGTTAAAGTAATTTATTTGTTTGTACAATAATTTACTTAATTGTTAATCGTATTGATTATTTTGAATAATTTAAATTAATACAATACAACACTTATTTAGACTCTTTATAAAGAAATGCATGTCTAAGGAAATGGGGACTTAAGCGATCATCATGATCCCCCCATGACCTGGAAAAATCGGGTTCTAAGCGATCCTCGGATCCCCTCTTTTTCTGTCAAAAAGACTGTGTTTCTAAGGAGATGTATACTTCTTCTAAGAGTCTTATGAGTGTACTTGTATTGCTTTAAATTATTGAAAATAATCAATACGATTAACAAAATAATATATTTGATTTTATGTGTATGTGTACAAAAATTAATTATACTTAAATTTCGAAAATTATTTTAGTTATGTTAAAATTAATGTTTATTAGATAATGTATATTTCTCTAAAACAACCTTGATTTAATTAATATTGCATCTTAAAAAATTATTTTAGCTATGTTAAAATTAATGTTTACTAGATAATGTATATTTCTCTAAAAAAAATCTTGATTTATTTAATATTGCATCTTATAATATTATTTAGTTATGTTAAAATTAATGTTTATTAGATAATGTATATTGTTATAAAACAACTTTGATTTAATTAATATTGCATCTTATAATATATTTATATATGTATAAATCATCATCTTATAGTGAAATTTAAAGTCTTCTCTAGGATGCATACCATATAGTCTGCTATAGGGGCACGACGAATGTGCTTGAATGGAACGACGTCATCTTGCCCTTTCTAAAAAGGGCAAGATTGGATTCGATTAGGCATTTTAATGATGGCGGATCCAGTTGACTAAGGGGGTGCTTAGTCACTTGACTAAGCCCCTCCCACCCTTAGATCTGGACACTTCAATCCAATGGTTAAAAAGTGGGAAGGGCTATTTAATTAATGACAGGGGTAGTTTGGGTATTATGGAAAATTACGAAGTATACAAACCGGATTTACAATCAGTACAAACCATACAAACATACGAACAGTACAAACTAGAGCGACAAAACATACAAACAGATTTACAAACATTACAAACGTATGAACTGTACAAACAATACAAACTAGACCGACAAACAATACAAACCATACAAAAAGAACAAACAACCGGGTTGACTTTGGAGGCTCCATCCCTATATAGAGGGGCTCCTTCCCAAAGTCAACCCGGGTGTTTTTTAGACATACAAACAGTACGAACATGGTGGACAAAAATGACAAACTAGACCGACAATCCATACGAACGGGAAAAAACACCCGGGTTGACTTTGGAGGCTCTATCCCTATATAGAGGGGCTCCTTCCCAAAGTCAACCCGGGTGTTTTTTAGACATACAAACATTACGAACATGGTGGAAAAAAATGACAAACTAGACGACAATCCATACGAACTAGAAAAAACACTCGGGTTGACTTTGGAGGCTTCATCCCTATATAGAGGAGTTCCATCCAAAAGTCAACCAGGTTGTTTTTTAGACATAAAAAACATTACAAACATGGTTGACAAAAATAACAAAGTTTACAAACATGGTGCACAAAAATAACAAAGTTTACAAACATTACAAAAAAAAAAAACCCGACAAACATTACAAAATAACAAAGCATGCAAACATTACAAAATATGTCAACAAACATCACAAAATTAGCACCGTCGCCGGGAAATTCTTCTCCGGCGACGATGTTCGTCGGGAAAAATTTTTCGACCAGAAAATCTCTCTCTCTCTCTCTCTCTCTCTCCGCCAACAAATAATTCCAGGGAGCCAAATAATTCCCCAGCAAAGGAACAAAGGAATAAAAGTGGCAGGGGATATTCCCATCACCGGCGCCGCTAAGTAAAAGTGTCCGGCGGATGTTTTCCATTAACGGCGCTGCCGAGAACAAAGCCGTCAAAGTGGCCGGCGGAGCAAACGTAAGCGGCGGAGGAAATACGAGCGGCACTGGGCACATTAAGTTTTAATTATTTAATAATTGAAAAATAATAAAGTAATGCAATTACTATATTTTCCTTCATTAAATTGGATTAATCTGAGCCTTTGGATTTAAATGAGGTTGGATGGCTGAGATGCACTTAGTCACATGACTAAGGGACCCCCCTTAGTCACCTGATCTTGGCCCCATTTTAATAGAATCAAGATCGACCGCCAACTCATCGCAGCATTGGTAGAGAGATGGCGAAAGGAGACACGCTGCTTCAATTTTCGTGAAGGCGAGTGCACCATCACACTTAAGGACATCACCATCCTAACCGATTTGCCCATCGATGGTGATGTTGTTTGTGTGAACTCTACGCCACCACCTAAAGTTGTTGCCAATATGAGTGGTTGGCAGCATTTTATATGGATGGTCACCGGGTTGTGTCCTCCGGAAAAGGGGGATCACGATGCGGATGGTCATCCACCATTGTCCAAGGGCCAAGTATCCATCACGTGGTTGACAGCGGAGATCAGGCGTAAGCACAACCCTGAGTTCGGAGGCATTCCCCTCACGGAGGAAAGTTCGGAGTGTGATAGACATTTATGCACGTATCTACATCCTCGGCATGATCGGAGGAGTTTTCTTCCCCAAGAAATCCAACAACCTAATCAGCAATTCATGGTTGAAGATCATACTTGGTAGTTGGGATGATATGGGAAACCTGAGCTGGGCATCTGCTTGCCTAGCTCATCTCTACCGATCCCTCTATAATGCTAGTGCGAGAGCGGTGAAGGAGATGGATGGGGCCATGTTCATCGTCCAATTTTGGGCTTGGGAGCATTTGCCATGGATTGCGCCGAAGGTAGACCCCGACAAGGAATGGGGTCCCGACCATCCCCTACGACATGAAGCTTATGGTTGTAGGTAAATGTTTTCTATCCCACTCATAGTTCTCACCTTTTTTTACTAATTGGGTATTTTATAACGAACCGCCTATTATGTATTAACACCCCATACTTTTTGGATTGAATAGGTGGCTTGGTGAAAAAACATGCGACAACCTAGGAGCGCATAAGTTGGAGGAGTATCGTAGGAGGCTTGATCGCCTTTGGGAAGCAGAGGTGAGCATCATAATACCTATTAATTCCTACTTTTTTCAACTTATATTATTATGTTGATTAATGGTCTATTTTTTATGCACCTTCGTAGCTTAAGTTCGATCCGTATCCAGAACGCATTGTTGCGCATCACCTCCACAAGTTCCCGTTACATCCCGGTCAATGGTGCACCCGAGTTCCAATAATCTGCCACCATATAGTGGAGTGGCACTTGCCGGATCGATGTCTATGACAATTTGGACGTGAGCAATGCCTACCATTGGATGTCCTGGAGAGTCAGAGGGGGTACCACGGGAAAGATGGTCGACAAGGAGCTACTAATTGGCCGAAGGAGTATGTAAAATTGATCCGCCTGTGGAATGTTAGGCAACATCAGGATATTGTTACGCGATCTCATGTGGGGCGGATGGGCTACCATGACCCATACATGAAAACATACTGAAGACAATCTATTCGTTACATGACCCCCGAAGGTGCGGCGGACGATGCTTTGGTAAGTAATTCAGTTTTTATTTATTTAGTCATGCGATGCATTACTTTTTAAATGGCTCACGTTGTTATTTTCTTCGATTTAGGTTGATGGCATCGAGCGAATACACGACCTCGCGCGGACGGCAGATCATTAGGCTGCGGGTCGAGAGGTGGGGCTCATTCGAAGGATAGCGAACAGTCTCCTTGGCTGTATGCGAGTGCGCAGACGTGACCATCATAGATACCCGCCAGTTCCCCCAGTGAGACCGCCGCCGGTGACGGAGGATGTTGACCCTGTGCCTCTGCCGGTCCATAGAAGGCCAAACAAAGCTACAAGGGATTGACCTCACGTGCCGGAGATCAAGCCGATTGAGGTGTAAAAGGTGCCTACTCCTTTGGAGGTGTGCCACGGTGCAGGGGGGAGTACTCA